AACTGATGGCGCACGGGCTTGGGGACCCCGTGTACCACAGAGTGGGAGACTGCCAGCCAGCCCAGCAGAAAGGAGCGCAGAGGGAACCCCCCACTGCCCTGGCCCAGTGGCTCAGGGAGCTTCGTCCTGAAGCGCTGGGGGAAGGTAGTGTCATGGGGAAGGCGGTGACAAAGCAGCCAAATCTAGTTCTGCCTTGAATAACCTCCCACCCTCGGGCCTCCCCTCAAGCACCCAGGCAGCTGCAGGGCTTCTGCTGCACCCATAGCCCCCCAGATCCCAACTGCTAGCCCCCTCCCTGGAGCCACAGCCCTGCCCCAAAGCACGGTGCCCAGCCTGGTTACCTGTGCAGTATCCTGGAGGCAGCACCTCGTCCTGCCGATAGCACTCTTCTCCCACCAGCTGCCGCAAGGCCTCGGCCACCAGCCCCTTGTAACTGAGGGGAAAAAGGAGAGTCAGAGGAGGCACCAGGGAGGGCCCCCAGCCTGCCCCCTCGACCACCGCTGACCCGGACCCGTGTCCTCCCTCTCAGCACATCTGCACAGAGATGCGAAGGTCCCTGGGAGCAAGAAATAGGGAGAGCCTTTAGCTCTGGGCTCTGCAGTTCTGGGGCAAGGAGGGAACACTTCAGCTCATTCAGCAGAAAAGCTCCTCCCGATATCGCATTTCCTTCTTCACCAAAAGGGCTGTCAGGCAGTGGAACAGGCTGCCGAGGGAAGGGGTTCCGTTCCCACCCCTGGGGGTATTTAGAAGACAGGTAAACATGGTGCTTGGGGCCATGGTTTAGACGCGGACTTGGCACTAGGTTAACAGTTGGACTCGATCTTAAGGGTCTCTTCCAACCTAAGTGATTCTATATTGCTCCTCTAAAGGCTTCGGAGCTCACGCACGGGCCTTTACCCTGGCACTGTCCTTGGCTGGGATCCTGCCCGAACAAGGTGGCAGACCCCACATCCCAAGCGACACCGCACTGCCCACCCACGAGACAGGCAGTGGGGTGCCAAGCGCACCGTGCTCCCAGCCGCACACTGCGCTCTCCCTTGCCGGAGCAGCCCTCCCTGCCCCTGACCTGTACTTTCTGTTGGCCTCGTCGGCTGTCAAGGCGTGCTCGAACATGAGGACACGGTAGCGCGGGTCGAGGCGTGGGCCGCTGTAATCGCGGAACTCCAGCTCCACCGCCGCGTCCAGCAGTGAGAGGTAGCGGCGCACGATCAGCGCGTAGGGGCTGCCTGCAGGGAGAGGATCGCTGGCTAGACACCGCCTGGAAGCCCCTCCTCGCCCAGCCACGCTCCTGGGGGGCTGGCTGTCAGCAAGGTGGTCCTGCGCTCCCAGGGGGAGTCTGTTCTGCCCAAGGCTTTCGAAAATCCGCCTCCACCCCGGGCCCTGAGCTTTAACGGCTGGGTTTACCCTGGAAAAAGACCCAACATACTCATAACATTGGTGATGAAGGCTGGGGAGAAGACTTGGTGCAGGACAGTCTGGGGGAAATGGCTAAGCTGAAACATGGACATGAGGATGTTGACAGTCGCCAGGGGTGAGCTGCCGGCTTTCTGCTCCAGGATGGCCTCCAGCTTGGGGAAGAGCTCGCTGTGGTTGGATGGGCGGTAATTCATGCGGCTGAAGGGAAACACCAGCTTCTGGATCACCTGCAGGCAGGAGGAGAGGGAGTCGGGCCGGGCCAGGCAGTGGGATGAAGGACAGGTCAGCCCCAGGCCTGCCCACAGCCAGGCAGAAACAGGTTCTCACAACCCGTGAGGACCAGGGCACATCCTGGTCCGGCCCCAGTGAGATGCCCCAGCCCGAGAACAGAGAAGGGACGGGGTTTCCCCCAGCACCAGGGCAGTCCCAGAGCCAGCCCCAGGCATTCTCCGCAGACCAGGGCAAACACTCACCTTGCTGTCGAGCTGCTCCCCACGCTTCAGGAGAAAGTTTGCGATGGTATCAAGCAGCCGTGGCTCACGCAGCCGGTGCCGGGCCACATACTTGGCAATGAGGGCCATGGTGTAAGGGGTAAGGTTCTCTGCCTTCCTGGGGAGCCACTCTGCACAGAGCAAACCACAGTGGGGTATCTGTCAGAGAGGCCTGGCTCTGTTCAAACTGCAGCTCTCCAGAAGCCACTACAGCCTGGGCAGGAAAGGCAGTGCAGGCAGGTGGGAAATAACAAGACCTGAGCAGCAGAGCCATCTCTCCTGAAAACCAGAAGGCTTCCAAAAACCATCAAGCTACGAGGTTTGTCAGAGGCTTGGGCAGATTCTTGTCAGGTGTACCCAGAAGGCACGGCTGGAACGTGCACAGAATGGTACCCATTCTGTAGAAACCCCACCGAAGCCAACCTGCTCCCAGTCTCGAAGGAAGGTGGGCTCACAGCCCCTGGAAGGGCTAGGCTGGGAAGTCAGTGACAGGGTGGCCATAATGCAGGGCATCTCCTGCTCCAGCCTCGCTGCTGCAGGCCCTGGTGCTCAGCAAGGCCCCAGTTGGTGCTGTCACAAACCCAGATGTCCTCTGGGGCCTAAAAAGGAGGCTCCAAGGCTGCCAAGCCTGGGGGGCAGAGCCCAGCGCACCCCGCACCGGGGAAGGGGCTCGCACAGTGGGCAAGGCTGGGACCCTGCCTGGGCAGACCCTGCCCTCACCTGCCATACTGCGGATGAATCGCTCTTGGCGGTTCTCGTAGAAGAGCTGAGAGCTGAAGATGGCCTCCAGGGCCTTGTTGTTTGCCTCCTGGGCGCACAGAGCCAGCATCTCGTCCAAGAGGGCCAGCTCATGCTCCCGCATGGCACTCACTTGCCCCAGTGTGTGCCTGACGAGGCGCAGGATCTTGCGGTTGTTGATCAGTTGCTGGTCGGAGGCCGGGTGTCCCTGCAGCGCCTGCGCCCGCAGCCGGTAGTAGGAGAGGAGCAGGAAGAGGGTCTGGGGGTGCCGCTCCTTCTCCAGGTGCCGCTCCAAACTGCTGAGGCAAGACTCAACCAGGGGGTGTGGGCTGGACGGGTGGAGCCTCATCACACTGCTGAAGACCATGGAGACGTCTTTCTGGTTGAAGCGGCCCAGGCGGCTCCGGGATTCGTCCTCCAGCACCCGCACCAGCGGCGATTCCCCAGGCAGGCCTGTGACAGGGAATGGATTAGGGATGCCCGGACCCCACCTCTCATCTTCACTGGCCACAACTGCCCTTGTAAGCTCAGGCACAAGACTACAGCTGGAGAAGGACAAATTTGCCATGGTGGTGATCAAATTGAAGATGAGGAAGGCAAAGAGGACCGGTTCAGGAAAGCCTGTCCAGAACACCAGTACATCTGCACCACGGAAAAAGTCACGTGGAGCTGTTGGATTACTCCCACCCACTCCACCAAAATGGAAGCCCTTTAGTTCATCTGCAAAGGCAAGCTTTATTTCTTAAGTCTCAAACTTCTTAAAAATAAATAACACACCTTAAAAAGTACTTTAAAAGTAGTTTTGGTTGGTAAACAACATCAACACGTTACCAAAATAAAAGCTGTGCATGTAAGATAGGAATTAATCCTTTCACATCTCTAATCTTCTCCCATTTTCTAGTTCAGACTCAGTCTCTCAGTCTCGGCTCCTGGGGAAAATACCTTCCTCCAACTCTGGACGTATTAGTCAAACACAGAAAGACAAGAGGCCAGGCACACAGTGCGGTTACGAAAAAAGGCAAAGGCCATCCTTCGTGTGTCAGGAGAGATATTTTCAGGAGATGCATGAAGCATTACGCACTGTATGAGGCCCTGGTAGCCCACTGGTCTCCTAAGCCAGCTGACAAGATTTCAATTTTCAAAAGGGCTTTAAAGCAACTAAGGCAGCATGGGGTAAGTTGCTGTGTTTTATCATTAATCAAAAATCAGTCAGAAGGTGGAAAGTGAAGAATTGGTCTGAGCAGTTGCTTCGCTCCTTAAAAAGGGCCTCAAAAAGGTGGGTTAGCGTTTTTATTAACGAGCGGGTAAGTGTGGTGAGTAGGGAAGGGCGACTGACGGAGAACAAAGTGTGGGTCAAAATCAGAGCAGGCCGGGGGGAGTCTAGCTGAGGAGAGAGGCGCCTGGCAGCCCAGAGTTCAGTATCAACAAACACAAGGCGCCGTGAGAAAGAAGGGGAAAGAGCAGAAACTTCTTCCCTCCCCCCTTCAGCAGGATCTAGTTACTGCATCAACCCATGGCCAGGACCGGGCGTCTCCGTACACGGCTCAACCGAGGCCTCAGCCCAGCGTGCAGCTGCGGTGGAAAAAAAAAAAAAGCAAACAGAATGGCAGGAGACATGCGTGTGAGATGTCGGAGTGCAGGGCTGGCAGGAACCACTGGGGTGGCAAGGGCAGGCACCTGCCACCGCAGGCAACTGCCAGACGCAATCCCCTTCCTCGCAGGTGGGAGAACCCGCAGGGCTCTCGGGGGCCCCCGGCCCAGCAAAAAAAAGGGCCCCGCCCCCCCAGCCAGTCCAGGCTCTGTAACACCCAGAGGCTGCTGCTGCACAGCAATCCAAAGCGGCTTGAACCCTTTCTCCTAACTATCGAAGCCTCGATGACATGGGGCTCACGGCTTGCAAAGGGTTTAGCCAAGATCTCGCATCTCACACTTCGATGCTCAGATATTTGCTGATTTTCAGGGACTGGAACAAAACTCAAGGAGCAGTTTATCCCGCATCCTGCCAGGCATTGCTGGCCACCACTTCGGCTGCCCTTCAGGCCAACATGCCAGGTGCTCCAGTCAGCTGAGCCCCCCCAGAGCAATCAGTCCACCTGACTCCTTTCCTGCTGCATACCCCAAGCAGAGCCTCCTCCTTCAAAGGGCACAGCTCCATCTGCCGCAAAGCCGCCATCACACATAAATCCACATGCAAACCCAAACACCCGCTCATGTTTCGGTACATTCTTCCTCCTTCCACAGCAGCTGTATCAGCAAGCTCTCCCTTCCCCTCACAAACCCAAGGACCAGCCTGCGCCCCACTGCCCTGCCCACTTCCTCCTTTCGCTGTGGACAACCCTGTGCAGGCAGATGCCGGCACCCCAGGACACTCACCCAGCGCAGCGGCGGCGTACAGACAGTTGACAATGCTGAAGTTATCAAACTTGGAGCAGCCGCTGATGATGGCCTGACAGAGAGTCTGAAACTCTGGCTGCTCCAGCATCTGGCTGGGCCCGCGGCTCTCCCCATTCACTGTGGCCTCCCTGCTGCTGCTGCAAGAGCTGGCCCAGCTTGTGCAGGGCAATGGGGTAGTGGCTGGCGGACACCTTGCTGGGGTTCTGTGTGACCCACCGCAGCACTTCTCCCACGCTGCGCGAGCGCTCTATCAGACGCTTCATTGTGAAGAAGGTGTCATAACTCATCTTCTCGTGGATGAAGTTCCAGCTCTTCCTCTTGCCATGGCCTCGAGTCCTGTAGGCATCCGGGGGAAAGGTGTGCAGCAGCCCATGGCCGTAGGGGTCCAGGGGGAGCAGCACAGCCCGCTGCTTAGCTTTGCCTGCACAGTAGCAGGTGGGATACATCCCGGCCCCGCTCCTGTCACCAGCAGCCAGGCCCTGCAGGACTCCGGGCCGCACGCTCTCCCGGGTCAGAGCACGGAGCCATGGCAGCAAGCGCAGCATGGCGAGGACAGGGCGGCTCGAGAGGCTTCGGAGAATCGGGAGACCCTGGGGAGGAGAGGGGGGCGGTGAGA